CTGATTTTTGGCGTAGTTTGGTGCTGGTTCTGGTGCAGTGTGGTGCTCATTTTTTGTGTAGTTCAGTTGCGGATTTTTGGCGTATATTGGTGCTGGTTCTGGTGCAGTGTGGTGCTCATTTGTTGTGCAGTTCAGTTGCTGATTTTTGCTGTAGTTTGGTTGCTGTTTTCTGCAATTTGATGCTGGTTTTTCTAGTTTTATGCTATTTTTTTGCGATTTTGTGCAGTTTTCTGCAGTTTTCTACAGTTTCATTGATGTAATGACTGTTTATTAACATGAAAATGACACTATATTTTTGGCTCAATTGTGTTCTTTATTTTACAGCAATATTTTCTACAGTTTCAAGATTATTTATTAGCATTCCACTTGCTTAGCATATCACAACAACTCAAATAAATGGCCAATGGCATATGTACTCAGAATAAATAAAATATAGTCAGCCGTTGTAACACTATCATTATATAATTAAGTACAAAGGACTATTATCCTTGCAATTAAGTAGAAAAGACTATTATCCTTGCTTGCCTTTCAACTATTAATCTAAAGTGAACCACAAAATACAACTACACATTGAGAAAGACAACTGCAATATTTATTATTTAGCTGAACAACTGTAATTTTGCATCACGATCGGAGGCCCTTATCTCGGACAGACTTTAGCCATGATTTGCATCTGCCAAAGCTTCAAATTCAATATCTAGTTCCGGTGCTAGGACAGAGCCAAGGGGCAGACTATCATCATGGCATCCAATAGCTACACTTATTCAAAGGGAAAAAGGGTTGGACCGGCGATAAAGAGATGTTATGGGCCGCTTTAAACCCTACAAGAAATAGGGCGGTAGCTCTATCCCTAACTCCACCGGTTCCCGTTCTCCGTCGCTGCCTTCGCCGCCACCCACTGCTCCGATAAGATAAAAAAGAAACGGGGAGAGAGAAACAATTTGGGGGAAAATAAGAAACGGGGAGAGAGAAATAAAAGACAAAGCGCTAAATTATTTTATGTTTTGGCGTTAGGGCAAGCTGTTAAAATAAACTGGCGGTGCCTGGTTAAAAAGTAGACAGAGACTAAAATTGATAAGTTTTGAATACTTAAAGGACTAAAAACAGTAAGTGCATATTTAAGGGACTATCATAAACCTACTCTGAAAGATAAGGGGCGATTTATGTCATTTCCTCTTCTCAAGTTTCTTATCTAGTTCTCTCATGAAGTTTGTCAAATCATCAAAATAAATGATACATAACTTATCATAAAATTCCTTAATAAACACTTCTTGTATTCATTTGCTTAGCTCGTAAAATGGTAGGACAACGCGTTTCCTTATTTCTTAATTGCTATGTACATTAACTTATTATTGATTGTCACACGCTCACGCTCTAATCTTCTTGTACGATTGTGATTTGTGCCCAAACAATCATTAATTACTTTAATGCTATGCCAACTTCCAAGTTCCAATACTAATTAATATCTTCCAGTCAATTTTATATTATAGGTCTTTCGACACAATTTCCTTTTATGTAAGTTTAGCTATATTCGTTCCTTGTACACTATTAAGTACTTATAATAGTGAAACTGATAACTTTTTTTCCTTTTTTTTTAATTTTTTCATATTAAGCCATCGACCCAGGCTTTCAGCTCCTGTGGTAATGAGGAATTTGATATTAACCCCTACCTAATTTTATTAAATAACCAAAAGTTGAGCACAAAGGAGGGCATAAGCCTGCAAAAAGTAATACATAACAGAGAAATAATTAATAACAGATCTAACCAAGTACATATGACAGATCCAAAAGAGTTTCTTTGGTCTGTCATATGTGCTAACTCCCAAAAGAAACTATTATTAAATCTAATATAACACATAATAAAGGGATAAATAGATAATATCAAAGCTTGAGGCCATGTAATCGGTTTCTGGAGAGTGAAACTGATTACTTAAAAATAAGATAAACAAGTATATTACAACAGATAAAACTGCAATGGTAAAAATTCTTTACACTCAACATAATTTTAATATAATAAGACTCAATATTTAAAACCCTACTTAATTTATATTGTGTGTCCACCCTCAGAGATAGATTTGGCTAACGTCTTCTTATACTTAAAACATCACAGCTCAATAATTTATTTATTTTTAATTTAAACAGCTCAATAAATTTAAACTGCACAAGTAGTTAATTACGAGTACACTTAATTAAAGAGGAGCTGATGCGCCTAACTCCTTTATTGTTTCTTAAATTTTACTTACTCCTTTCATTAAATTGAAAAGAGTTCATTTAATGTTTATCTCAACTTTTCTTGTTTTCTGTTTTTTTCTCTTTTTATATTTTTTCTATGTTGTATCCTCCTTAAATCTTGGTTGATATAGTATTGCTTGAGACATGTATTGATGAGAGACAGTAAGCATCTTGCTGAGATGTGCGCAAATTGACGTGAAAACCACTAGATACGACACAAATGAACTCTTTCCTTCGGTCTATATATTGATTGGTAGAATCCCTCGATACATGTACTGATAGGAGATCATAATCTCATCGTAGATTAGTCAAAATATGCACAAACTGGTTAGAATATTACTGGTAACTTTTTTTTTTTTTTTTTTTTTTTTTTTTTTGTAAACTAAAGTCGGAGTAACAATAAAGTTATTTACGTGTGACCTATAGGTCAGGGATTCGAGCCGTAGAAACATCCCCTAATACTTGCATTAGGATAAGCTGTCTACATCAATCCTTTTCTGAACTCTGAGTGAACGCGGAATGCCTTGTGTACCGGACTAGCCTTGTTTTAAAATAAAGTCATAAACGAAAAGGGAAAAAAAGGGCCAAATACATATACAACCCATTCAACTTGGTACCATTTTTCATTTTGGCACTCTATCTCAACCTTGTTTCATTTTAGCCCTCCAACTCTATTTTATACGTTCCATTTTGGCACTCCAACTCTATTTCTTATGTTCCACTTTAACACAAAAGCCGAAACCAGTGCAAAAAATATAGCGCGTGTGTATACACAAATTTGAGGTGTAAAAAATATCCCATTAAATGTCGCCACCTGATTTTTTCATCCATGTCAAACGGGTCAATACTAAAATACCTGAACCCGACCGTATTTGGGTAAAATTAAGTCCGCTTTTTATTTACACAAGAAAATGACAACACTGAAAATGAAATCCGAAAATGGCTCTCTTACTTTGTCAAATTTACACCCACAAGAGCGTCGACTTGGATTTCTTGGTGTCCATGATACTTTCAGTTCAACTTGAAATCCACAAGAACAAATATTCATTCCATTATGAAAAAATAATTTTATTTGAGACATGGATTCACTTCAAACTTCAAGCTTAGATGAAGTAAACCCACAAAAAAAAAAAAAACAGAATAAATAAACGAACAATAAAATTGCAAAAGTTTGAAATTTTCTGGATGGCCAGGTATGAAATCGGCAGATGAAAGCTTTGGAACTTCGAGAATGAAGATGGGGCAACAATGGATGAAAAAATACAGTTAGGTTCGGGTATTTTAATATTGACCCGTTGGACATGGATGAAAAAATCAGGTGACAATATTTAATTGGATATTTATTACACCTCAGATTTGTGTATACACATGCGCTATATATTGTGCACTGGTTTCAGCTTTTATGATAAAGTGGAACATAAGAAATAGAGTTGGAGGACCAAAATGGAACATATAAAATAGAGTTGGAGGACCAAAATGGAACAAAGTTGAGATTGAGTGCCAAAATAAAATTTGGGCCAAGTTTAATGGGCTGTATTTGGCCCAAAAAAAAAAAAAAAAAAGAGAGTGACAGGAACATAAGTCATGCTTCATAATGGCCATGCATACTTTGGACCATGGAATTTTTCAAACAAGTAGCTATCTACTGTGTCAGAAAGGGAAAGATAAAGTTCAAACTGTTGGCTGGAAATAATTTAATTTATCCATTAATAGCATGCAGAAGACCAAGTAAATAAGAGCCCATTAAATACAATAGCATGCAACGCCTAACGCATAAACTTGACGGATATATCATATTACTCTCTGATTCAGAAGGTTTCAGAAGTCAAACAATTATATTTAAAAAGACCTACGGGAAGAATGAGCTTTATAACATTTTAATACTAATTACAGTAGTATTTAACTTCTTTGCATAGACAATGTAGTATAATATTTGTATGCTATCAAATTAAGTTACTTACAATCAAATATTACCTTATAACTCGGGAAATAAAGTAGATAATCCGAACCGCTAAAACTGTTATTGAAAAAGAAAAAAAAAGGACAGTTCGGTGCACTAAGCTCTCGCTATGCGCGGAGGTCTGGAGAAAGGTCGAACCACAGGGGTCTATTGTATGCAGCCTTACCCTGCATTTTTGCAAGAGGCATGTTTCCACGGTTTGAACTCGTGACCTCCTGGTCACATGACAACAACTTTACCGCTAAACTGTTATAATAGGTTAAATTATACTGAGAGCAGGGACGGAGCCACCATGTTAGTTGCGGGCTCGGCCGAACCCAATAGTTTTTGTTCAAACCTTGTATTTGTATTAAGAAGTTCAATGAATATGTACACATTATTAATTTAGAACTCAATAACTTAAAAGAATTATTATCCCGAACTTATAAAGTTCAAATCCTAGCTCCGCCACTATATTAGAGTATATAAATTTTCTGTTAGTGTATATACTTAAATATTTTGGATAAATTCATAATAAATGAGAGACACCCTAAAAGTCAAATCTCCCAGAACGAAAATTAAAGCAGTAATGAAAATAGTGCTGTCTTTTGACTTAGTAAGTGTGTGCGGGAGAGGGGCAGTTGCCAAAATTTAATCCTTTGTCCAATTGCAGAGCAACAAGCATTTACTCAATAGAAGGTGACAGTTGAGTTATAAGTGGACCTACCATGTGATTTTCTTGTACTATATAATAGGATCATATACTAAACATTCTTGCATGTCAAGTGTTCTATTATTCTTTTTATTGAAGGTTTAAGTTGGAGTCATAATGGGTTTATCTGCACGTAGTGTTGGGGTGTTTATTCTTTTGCTTTTGTTTGTTGTTGAGTCTGTGGTGTTTGCTGATGTTAATAAGGGAGATGAAGATGAGAAGTTCTTGTTTAAGCATCGTCGTTTTGGGGATCGTATTGGTGGGGGTTTAGGGCATGGGATTTATAGTAAAGGGTTTAGACATGGCGGAGGTCTTGGCCTTGGTGGAGGTGGTGGTCTTGGTGGTGGTGGTGGTCTTGGTGGAGGAGCTGGTGGAGGTCTAGGTGGAGGTGCTGGTGGTGGCTTGGGAGGTGGAGGTGGCCTTGGAGGAGGAGCTGGTGGAGGTCTAGGTGGAGGTGCTGGTGGTGGCTTGGGAGGTGGAGGTGGTCTTGGTGGGGGTGCTGGTGGTGGTCTTGGTGGTGGTGCAGGTGGTGGATTAGGAGGCGGTGCAGGTGGTGGTCTAGGAGGTGGTGCAGGTGGTGGTGGTGGTTTAGGAGGCGGTGCAGGTGGTGGCCTAGGAGGTGGTGCAGGTGGTGGTGGTGGCCTAGGAGGTGGTGCAGGTGGCGGCCTAGGAGGTGGTGCAGGTGCAGGTGGTGGCTTAGGAGGTGGTGCAGGTGGTGGTCTTGGAGGTGGTGCGGGTGGTGGTCTAGGAGGAGGTGGGGGAGCCGGTGGAGGACTTGGTGGAGGTGGTGGACTAGGAGGAGGTGCTGGTGGCGGAGCTGGTGGAGGCATTGGAGGAGGAGCAGGAGGAGGTGGAGGACTTGGAGGAGGTGCTGGTGGAGGCATTGGAGGAGGGGTAGGAGGAGGTGGCGGAGCTGGAGGAGGCATAGGTGGGGGAGCCGGTGGTGGTGCTGGAGGTGGTTTTGGTGCAGGTGGAGGTGCTGGAGGTGGTATTGGTGGTGGTGCCGGTGGTGGTGGAGGATTCGGTGGAGGAGGAGGTGGTGGCATTGGTGGTGGTGGAGGTGCAGGAGGAGGGTTTGGAGCAGGTGGAGGCTTTGGAGCCGGTGCTGGTGCCGGTATAGGAGGTGGCGGCGGTGGCGGCTTTGGTGGTGGAGGAGGCATTGGTGGTGGTCTTCATTGATCAACAAAGCTTCAATGTTCTTGGATGAAATAAGCCATATTGTAATGTTTACTCTTGGAAGTGCTCTATTATCGCTTTTAAATTAAGCCGTTAATTAGAGTACTTTTTATTTAGTTGTTATTCTTTTGTGAAACTTGTTGAAAAATGTTATTCCTACTAATTAAACAAGTCTATAAGCTATCATATTTATAGTGTGTTTTTTGTTGAGTTAAAAGTAAAAGCTTCTTGTCCATCTTGCTTTAAAAGCTCATGGACTATAGGTGCAATGCCCAATCCTTTCATTAATAAGATATATCTCTTGCCAAGTGTATTAATCTATTAGCTCCTTTTCTGTTTTGGATTCTTCATTCTTATTATTATTATTTTTTAAATTGAAGTATAAACCCTGAAAATTTGCATGGAAATGGAAACTAATAATAAGCTATGAATTGTGGGCAGGCGATCAAATTAAATACAAGATAACATGGGTGAAAATACATTTTTTGGCTTTTTAATTACTCCTGAAAATACAAAATAATCTTTATAGCTAAATCAAACCACTTAATCGTGTTAATAAGGGGTTACTCCTATAATAATTTACCCAATAAATAAATTACTGCATGTAATATGTTGTAGAAAATACAGCAAAATCTAGTGAGATAGAAAGGAGAGACAAATCGGGGAGTTATATGGAAATTTAGAAACATTGCACTAACTCCTAATTTGTTGTTAATATACATCCATTTTTTTATTAGTTAGTATATATGCTTCTACATAGTCTGATCATTGGTTAAAATTACCTTTTATTATACGTTATACAGTGTATAGCAAGAATTGCACGCATAAGCTAAATAATATAGAAAATATAATGCTTTCAGCCATGTAAAGCATTTTAAAGAGTATGCTAAAGGATTGTCCAATTATAAAAACTGCAGTTAGTGCACTTGTATTCCTTAATGACAATATGTATTGAAGTGGTGTGTGGAAAATATAGTTTACGAAATATAGTTCAAGTATATAAACCATATTAATTAGTTACTACTTTTTGCGACGAAACAATAAATTAATTAATTAGGTGACTAAGCACTCTAAGTCTCTAATGGCTAATTCTACTTATGCAGGAATAAATTACTACTAAATGAAAAGTCAAATATATGTAATAAGAGTGATTTTGTTTATTTTCATGTTCCACGTATAACATAAGAGAGAATTATAAAATTTTTATTTCGAATTCAAAAATTCTAATGCTATAATTTACATAATATTTTAGGACTCTGAATTAAACTACTCAAAATTTTATATTATAAAATAGTCTTTTATAACAAGATCTAGTGTAATATTTTGCAAACACATGGCTAACATCTTGTTAATTTGAAAACTCTTTGCCAATATCAATGTAAATAAATACTACAAATAAATGTTGCAGTCCTAAATCCTAATGTTGTCGTCTCTACCAATTTAACCGGGCCGATCCGATTCACTTTCTTATAGGGGACGGTTCGGATTTACCCGTTAATCAAAACATGTTAACTCAACCTGGACCCTTAACTCTTAACCCCTTAACTCAAGCCCTAATGGCCCGAATCTAATTTAATTAAAAAAGTTAAAAAATTAATAAATGACAAAATTTTCAAACTTTATGTTTAATGAGTTGATAGAACCTAATGACGTGCAACTTTTGTCGTGTCGCTTTCGTTGGCCACAAATGTGTCACGATCCATTTCCACAACAGGTCATGATGACACCCAACACCATTGCCGGGCAAGCCAACGCGAAAAAATACTGATTAGACTTTCATTTACCTTTACCCCGAACTAGTGGAATAATTCTTTAACTTGAAACAAAAATCAAAAATGATTAATAAAGTCATGATAATCATACAACCCCAAAATAATACAGTCTACTAATGTGTGTGCCAGGACCTGGTGTCACAAGCTGTGGGCAACTAGTAGAATATACAAAAGAATCACACTATCCTACTGTCTGAAGCGGAATAGACAGCAAAAGAAACTACATAAGAAAGACTTCTTCAAGCTGCGGAACGGCATGGAAGGGAAGCAGCTCACTGTAGAAGTCTCGAGTCCGCTCAGAGACACGCACCAGACTGGTAGCCAGATACACCTGCCTCAGACCCTGTACAATCAAGTACAGAAGTGTAGTATGAGTACATAAATAATATGTACCCAGTAAGTATCCCGTCTAATCTCGAAGAAGTAGAGACGAGAGGTCGACTTGACACTTACTAGGGTCAAACAATGTAAGAAGAGTTTATAAATAGCATGGATAGCACACGTCATTAGCTTTTTAAAAAAGAAATCATGAAATAACAGCTCCTTCCCAAGTATTATCATGGATATTCATCTATATTTCAAACAGATATGAAATTCAGTCCTCAGAGAAATGCCAAGCAAAACATGCGCAAGTAACACCGTGGGACGTACGGTCCGATCCAACATAAAATAAATTGTGCACTGCCGAGGGTCGAACGGCTCGAACCATAGATGCATCTATTACCCCGCTCGCGAATCATCCATGCGACGCGATCAAATATAAATAAACTCATCAACAAGCAAACAATAATATATACATCTGAGGAGTAGTTATTCACAGGAATACCCAATATTCTCTTTTAAAAGACCAAACAGGATAAGGTTCCTTCACTAGTCTAATTTACCTTAATCAAAATAGCTTATACGAATCCGAATTTATCATCAAATTACAAGAATATCACGTAGAGCATGCTTATGGGTCCTAGACTACCCGAACTTAACATAATAGCCGCTACGTACGGACTCTCGTCACCTAGTACGTACGTAGCCCCCGCATATAATGGCAATTAATTCAATTATTATACCTATGGTGATAATTCCCTCTTACAAAGTTAGAAAGGAGACTCACCTCGCTCCAAAGTGCACTTCCAATTCAAAGAACAAGTCCAACCCCTCAATTCGGAGCCGAACGATCCCAAACTAATTAAATGAAATAAAAACTAGTCAATATAGACTCACAAGATCGAATTCTAGCTATTTAAGAAATTTCCCAACTCTTAACACAAGTTTCCTAAAATCCGACCCGGGCCCACATGCCCGGATTCCGAGATTTTTCGAAGGAAGTTATTCTCTACATCCTAAAAATCAACAATATATGATTTCTAATTTATTCCATAACAAATTTCGTTGTTAAATCTAACTTTTATTAAAACCCTAGGTTTTTGCTCTAACCCCATGATTTCACCTTAATACCAGTGTTTAATCTACCTAGGACATAAGTAATAAACTAGAAATGGGTAGGACTAACTTACCTCCAGATGCTTGGTGAAGGTTTTCTTCCAAGAGCTCTAAAATCGCCAATGGAGGAGTAAAAAGTGTCAAAAATGGGTTTGGAACCCGTATTTAATGAACCTCACTGGTTCAGTGATTTCTGCATCTGCGGTCAGGGGACCGCATATGCGGTCCCGCATCTGCGAGAAAGGGACCACATCTGCGGAATGGGGCGAAAGAGCTGGGACCGCTTCTGCTGTCTCAAGGGCGCACCTGCGGAGCCGCTTTTGCGGCTGGGGAGCCGCTTCTGCGGTTCCTGGCCTCCTTACTCTAGGCCGCTTCTGCGATTAAAGGACCGCTTCTGCGGTCTCGCACCTGTGGTCCAACAATCACAGGTGCGGTTATGACAGAAGCAGCAAACTTCAGTCCTTTTTCAAATTTCCACTTCACTCGAGCCTCGTCCGTTTGACGCTCGGGGCTCCCGAGCCCCGCCCGAACATACCGACAAGTCTGAAATCACGAGACGGACCTACTCGAACCTTCGGAACACCCGGAACAACGCCAAATCTAGGAATCACCCCCTAAAACCAAATGGATCAAACTTATGAACTTCAAGTTCTTAATTTTCCTCCAACGGGCCAAAACGCCCTTAAACTACTCGGATTAACGCCAAATTTTGCGGGTAGGTCTTAAATGATATTTCGGACTTGTACCGGGCTTTGGAACTAACTTACGAGCCCGATACTCATGAAATCACTCATTAGTTAGTTTCTTTAAATCCTTAATATTTCAGATTAACAATTTCTAATAAAAATTCATTACTCGGGCTAGGGACCTCGGAATTCGATCCCGGGCATACGCCCAGGTCCCATATTTTCCCGCGGATCCTCCGGAACCGTCAAAATACGAATCCGTGCCCGTTTGCCCAAAATGTTGACCGAAAGTCAAACTTAGCCTTTTAAGAAAATCCTGAAGAGTTAGATGTGCATATTTCAAATCCAAATTTCTTCTAAATCCCGAACCAACCATCCCCGCAGGTCATAATTTAGTTAAAGCGGCACGAAGAGTTTTATTTGGAGGAACGGGGTTCTAAAAAGGCAAACGACCGGTCGGGTCATTACATCCTCCACCTCTTAAACAAACGTTCGTCCTCGAACGGGCATAGAAAGATATCTGAAGTGCTGAATAGATGAGGGTATCTGCTCCGCATGTCCTCCTCGGACTCCCAGGTCGCTTCCTCGATTGGTTGGCCCCTCCACTGGACCCACACTGCAGAAATCCTCTTGGACCTCAACTGGCGATCCTGTCTATCAATGATGTCAACCGGCTCCTCTTCATAACCCAAACTCTCATCCAGCTGAATGTTACTGAAGTCTAACACATGGGACAGGTCGGGATGATACTTCCGAAGCATCGATACATGAAAAACCAGATGAACTCCCGATAAGCTGGGGGTAAGGCAAGCTCATAGGCAACCTCCCCAACTCGCCTCAACACCTCAAAGGGCCCAATAAACCTTGGGCTCAGCTTGCCCTTCTTCCCGAACCTCATAATACCCTTCATTGGCGAGACCTTCAAGAGAACCTTCTCGCCAACCATGAATGATACATCTCGCACCTTCTGATCCACGTAACTCTTCTGTCTGGACTGAGCTGTGCGAAGCCTCTCCTGAATCAACCTTACCTTATCCAAGGCATCCTGTACCAAATTTGTACCATATAACTTAGCCTCGCTAGGATCGAACCACCCGATAGGAGAACG